ATTGCATGCGCTTCGCATTTTGTTTAGCAGCTTGAGTTTAGCTAACTATGCAGTAATGCCAGTACAATGGTCCGACAGGAAACCCTTGCGCTTGTATTCCTGCCAGTGTTTGCTGTTGTTGTTGCTGCTGCTGTCTTGTTGTCACCAAGTGTCACAAGAATTTGGTCGCGCTAGCCTGCAAATATCTGCGAACATGCACGCACCATTTTTGCAGACCAGGGAATGCACCTCCTGAGTAACTAGCAAAGAGCATCAAAAGAGCTTCAGAGCTGTTCCAGGCTGCAGGAAAATGTGGCGTCTGATTTCATGCGCCAATCCAATCCATCAGCCGGAGCTTCTCTCCAAACATGGCCACATATGGTCAGGTTGTAAAGAGATTGTGAAAGACCATGGAAAACTCCTTTGATCATCAACGACCATCAATCTCCATGTGGCCTTTAGAGGAGCCGCCGGACCCATCCTCCTCACCTCTGTGCAGCAGGATGTCATTCCCAGATCACTCTGAGCGGAACTCTTTCACCCCAGCTCCATCTTCTTGTGCGATCACCTCTGGCCCGACCCAAAGGTGTAAAAGCCACCTATCCGAGCAAAACCTAAACAACTTGGATGAACATATTTACTAACAGTAATCACTGAAGCATTAAAACAAAAAACATGCATGGCGCAGTGGATGCTACCATCCCCTGCACAAGAAGCTCGCAAGGCAATCCTCATGCGTATGTGGCAGGTGACACGCAAGCTAAGAAGCACTACCTAGACTTGTGCTGTTGTTCTTACACTCAAAGGCCCCCGACACCGAGCTCCAGCGTCCAGCCCTCTGGGCACCCCGGGCGGCAGCGTTGGCCAGTCAGCGGCACCGGGTGGCGGCGCCGATTTCCTGCAGGTCTCATTGACCCAAAGTTCACCCACAAGACCAGGTGAGCTGGGCGAACTGTTGGACTCTGCCAAAACGCGGAGTCGGCACGGTCAAAACACACGAACATGTTCTGCGAAAAAGCCCGGCAAGAAAATGCGTGGGTGAATCATGGTGAATCTACCTGGTGACACAAGCAGAACTTGCTCTGCAGTTGTATGGTCTCATCGAGCAGCGAGGACCTCCCAGTCCTGTCCCAGGCTGGAGGCAGCTTCTTGACAGGATATCCTGTGCCTGAAAGGCCGGCAGTGTGGAGAAAGCTACCCAGCAGTGCGTAGGGGGGCAGAAGGCAGAAAGGAAAGAACACCAAACAGTATGACACCACAAATGACCATGTGCAGTCCACAAGGTAGCAGATGTTTCATGTTTTTGGTAAGTTCCCCATAGCTCAAGCTCTGGTCTGCTGGATTTCTTGGAGCTTGGTAGACTTCAACTTCTAACAGTTCAGGAGCATCAAACCACATCATGTTCGATGATGACGCTCCTGAACCTCCAAGGCTCTCCGGCCAAACAAACAGCTTGAGACCATCTGAGAACTGGTCAGAGGGTGGCCATGTTGGCCTTTGCTTTGTGGATTAGTGTACATTATTCTACAGGTAGCCTGAAAAGAACTAGCCAGCAAATGTCTTCCAGCGCGCCTATGTCGTCCAGCTGCTTCAGGGACATTGAGACATAGAGCTGCACCGCAGCACTTTCCTGTTTCCGTGCCACGTCTTGTATTTGAAGGCGCAACACTCAGAAGTGCTTGGCTCGGAGTCTTGTCAAAGCTTGGAGGATCTTGGCCCAGAAAAAGCGAGGGGAGTCGCACAATCAGAGGATGGAACACGTGAAGATTCACTCATTTGGCACCAAAGATGGAAGGTGTCCCCGGACCTCCATCTTTGCGGAAAAACTGAGGTCGCAAAAAGAAAGCTGTTCACCGAAGGTGCGAACCACACATCTCTTATAAATGGACAGCCAAAGGTGCTCGCCACTGTTTCTCTTTGCCCATAACAATCATATTATATTGATTCGAATTCAGTACTCTGTCCACCAAAAGGCTTCAGGGCTCCACACAACTCAGGCCCAGGGTAGCTGCGCTCGGGACCTACTTCAGACCCAGCGCTCACGTCGTCGTCCCGCCGTCCTTCTGCCCCAAGCGCTGAACAGCTGCTGCGGCAGCCTCCTGGCGATGTGCGTCTCACGAGCCACATGCCTGGCATGCCTTTGCATCTCTGGACAAGCAAAAACGGCAGCGTGACATCCAATACAATACAAAAAAATCCCAAAGGCCAAGCGTGCAAAGAATGGATCTGACCCCACAACAAGTCTCCTATCAAAACAACATGCATAGAATTTTGTGAGAACTGATTCCAAAAGTATAACTATTATGAATCCAAACGAATCCTCAAATCCTGTCCATCTCAACTCCTGTGCAAAGATATGAGGTGCTGTATATCTGTGTGTTGTACACAAGAACGATTCATGAAGATTTTGCATAGGCACACCATGCAGCTGCCCTATGGTTCCCCTATTTCGTGCCACCAACCAGACCACACACCCTATTGTAGACTCTTGATTCATCAACCCCTGTTTCAATTGTTTTAAACCTCTTCATATGGTGAGGGGTACATAAAGCCACCACAAACCACAGAGTACACCGCCCTGCAATTAAACCCATCTTCAGTAACCATATATCATATTATAAACGCAAACCCTGAACCCCAAAGTTTTTCCACGGATGTCTTCCCAGCCAGCCGTGGTCTTTCTTTGCCGGTCCTTCCACTCCCACCAGCTCCGTTGACGGTCAGCGCCGGAGGTCTCGTCATTCGCCGCAAGCTTCAGCACTAGCAAGGGCCGCAAGGAGAGGAGACCTTGAGCGGTCGAAGCCTGCTACTGAGTCACAATATGCCACAAAAATCGAACCCCAAACTACTCGAATCCAAACAGCCAATATCAGCCAATCAACCGCAAAATGTCCAACCAACGCTGGCCAGCGAATCAAACATCAAAAAGCACATCAATTCAAACTAAACCTATCAAAAAGAACAAACAAGTTGGTATGGGAATCCAGATGAATCCAGGCATCCCTTGCAATCAACTTGCAAGCACCTGATTTGAACTCCAAGGTGCCCATTGCAGTTCATTCAACCTAAGCTAACACCTCTAGAAAACTGCAATCATCTTCCCTTTCCATTCTTATTTAAGCATACCCTCATGGCTGTTTTGCACCTTTGACCCAACACAACACCATACAGTTACTGTATATAGTTATATACCTGCTCCCTGCACCTCGCTCGATCCCTTCCAAGTGGCGGTCCATGGGTTCAAAGTCCAAGGATGCGCCCCCGGCATCCACCAGGTGCTGATGCATCAGCTGCAAAGACTCGGCCTACATGTTGCCCGGCCGACCGGCGTCTGCGGCACAGCAGGCTGGCATGGTTGGGGAGGCTGGACAAAGAAAGGAAGGTACCACTCATCACCTGGGAAGAAGGCGGGGCCCTTACAGGAACCTGACAAAGTCATCCTTTAGTCATCCTTTGCACAAGTAGCAAGAACCAATGGAACACTGGTAGTGTGGGCTTTGATTGATTTACATCCGCTTGCTGCATGTCAGCCCCAATGGAAAGGCTGTAGAAATTCTGTCACCAACTTTGTCACATCAGGTCATCAGGTGCCCCGAACAGAGCTAATCCGCAACTAGTGGCCCGATGCGATCGGGTCACATCAGGGTCACATCATCAGGTTCCTGTTTACAAGGCTTTCTACCGATTGAAAGAAAGTTTGGGCTTTGTATCCCAAAAATCCAATTTACTACAGTCTGGAAAGCAGCAACACCCTGCAACGGGGGTATCTTGGCGTAATCTGTCCAAATCCACAACTGTTCCATTGCGAACTGCACTGGCAAGCCTGGAAATGATTTCGTTGCCTCCTGTACTTGTCGTGCATGTATGTGGAAAATCCCTTGTGAACTGCCACCACAGAATAAGAAACTCATTGCTTCAGCAGGCCTGTGCACCCAACCTCTCCCCACATTTTTGCAATGCAAAGGCTGTGGTGTGTTGGTGCTTCTTGCGTTCAGCTAGTGTTTGGCATGTGGTGCTGACTAAGACTACACAAACCTGACATCAACCCCTTATGGGTTGCCAGTACCGCGTTAGAACACCTTTCGATGAGAGCCCCAGCATACAACCTAAAAGTAGGTCCCTTTCCAACAGTTAGCAGAGCAAGGACGCTTCTAGGGGCTCCTGGCCTTACTACAAGGAGCAAGGACGCTACTAGGGGCTCCTGGCCTTACTACTAGGAGCAAGGGCATCGCTATTAGAAACAAGAAACAGAGGCGCTCCCCCCGCAGCCGCCACAGCCTGCTGAGCGTCCAGTTGCTTCACGCATCGACGCAAGGCCTCGATGGTGCTGTACTCACAAGGAAGCCTTGCTTGTCTCATTGGAATATCACAATGTACAGCTTCCCTAACTCCCCTAATGAGAAGGGGGTACATTATATCAGTTACCTTGCATCAGGTATCTTATAGCTTATTTAATATCACAATGTACCTTCTATATTAAAGGTCAATCTTCCAAAATATGTTGGGCAACTAAATTTACTGTAAGTTGGAGGTGTTGGTCAGTAGTTTCGGTCTCTAACCATCAGATCCATCAGTGTCCCACTCCCTCCGACATCTGCGCTTACAGGCTTACAGGGCTCGGTCTTATGTGGCTCAGTCTCGTTTAGATGGCAGTCCAGCACCACAACCACACTCTCAGTCAAGAATCTCAATCACACTATTTCAACAACCCGCTACCCAAAATGATATCCCAAACCCGTGTAAATGTGGGTTGTACTCTCTCTTTGCCCTATCCGTGAGGTATCAGGGAATGCTATGCTGTCCCATATGTAGACACCCAATAGAGCTGCAAGTGGGCCTGCTGGGACACTGATGGAGTACGTGGAATCACCAAGACGTCCAGCACCGCGTTCAAGGAGGAGAGGAAGCTCAAGCGACCTCCTAGAGCGCACTGAGCTGTCGCTGTTTGGAACTTACGAATGAACCTACTATGTGTTTGACCTACCCAAACCAGTGGAGGCACCTCGACAAACGATAGAAACAAATCAACACAACATTGCCCTTTGCTGAATAAATTATTGCACAACATGTGCAAGATCCATAGCTTGTGCATCATTCGGATACGAAGACGAAGACGAAGAAGAAAGGGAAGAAGAAGGAGAAGGAGAAAGAGAACGAGAAGGAGAAGAAGAAGAAGAAGCGGATGATGTCCTTTTCTCTATGACCGATCTCTGAGGAAAGCAAGCCCAGTTGGCCAGAGAATCAACCACAACACCAGGATGTTTGGCATTCCATTTCTGCATCTTCGGATCGTTTTCAAAGCTCTGGACTGACCTCATTTGTTATCTGCTTTCCTTGTTGAAAGCTCCAATGCATGGGTGGACCACATACAGCAGTATTGGTGCAGTTGCAATACCATCCTCACATATCCTCACTGCCTCACCCACTTTATTGGCAAAGAGGGGTCTTTTGAGGGCTCTTGGTCAAACAAACCCATTTCAACCCAGAATGGTTTTGCATCTATGGGCCATGGGTATACAAGCATGGGTAAAATATATATGGTGAATTCATCAACAGTCAGCTTTACACTTCTTTCTCCCACCACGTCCCACATAAGTCCTCTCGAAGATTGACTGATCTGGACCGTGTCAAGCTTCTCTTCCAGCTGCCTCGGCCCACTTCTACTCCCATGAAGAATAAGCCCCTGCTGTGGCTGTGGTCATTGTACTTCTGGGTGAAACAAGACGAAACAAGTAGTTCAACCTATATAAGTAGTTCATGTCTCAGACCTGGTAATCAGAAGAAGGAAGATCAAAAATGAAAGAGGCAACAGCAACCTGGGTGTTTCAGCATGTTTGATCCCACTTCTGTTTCCATTTTCCCCCACCTCGGCAGCACCGGCGCTTTCGGCGCCATCTTCGGCTCCGGCACCCCTTTGGGCACAGCCTTCGCCTGGGCCTTGGTCTGGGCCTTCGCCTGGGCCTTTGCCGACCCCGTCGCCGGCCCCGTTGGCGGGGCGGCGCGGAGCTCTTCGCGGGCGCGGAGCTCGTCCAGTGCGGTGTGGAGAAGATGCCGCGGAGCCTGGTGGGTTCGAGTCGTGTGGCGGAGAGGTTCTGGGAGCTGGATGGGGCTGGTGGAGTTGGAGAGCAGTGGAGAAGACTGATGTGATCCATACCAGGATGGAGACAAATAAAGAGTCAATGTCACACACCATCACCAACAGCAACATGCTGAGCATGGGGGCTTCCTCTGCACAGCGGCCCCAGCAAAATTTGATCGAACCAAAGCATCAGATTCAGATGTGATTGTTCAATCAGGTGATATGTATTTTATCTCCGAAAGTATCAGCAGCAGTTCCAAAGGGGTACCAATATTGGAGGGTCCACTCACTTAGGGTCTCAAAACCATCCCTTTAGAACTCCTGGTAGATTCTAATACAATGTCAACATAGGATTAAGTAACCTCCCCCTATTAGTCAAGCCCAGCTCGAGCCCCCAATACTAAACTAAGTTAAAACCTGGTACATCACCCTAATAAAAAACATCCTAGCAAACACCTCCCACTATTAATCAAGCCCAGCTCCCCCAAAAAAAAACAAGTATAGGAGTAGCTTCTTTTTGGGCAGTATCCAATATCTTCTGGTCCATGGTGAAACTGATCTTCTCATTCATTCTCATCCTCCTTCTGCTTCACTCTCGTCCATCATTATATATCATTGTCATCCTCCTTCTGCTTCTCATCCTGCTTTTTCGTCTCATCCTTCCCTTCCCTGTTAAAAACCCTCTGGCCTCCATCTTGTTGCCCATCTCTTTCATCCTGCAATCCTCTTTCTTTTCCTAATCATCCCAATCAAAGAAAGAATCTTGTCTTCCATTGTCTTCCTATCTCTTTCATCATCTCAACCATCCCAATCCCAATCTTTCCCAATCTTGTCATCATCTCATCATCCATCATCAGGTCATCACTTCTGGGCTGAAGTTCAGCTCATGACCGCCATACCCCTTCAACTGTACCTCGTCAGGCAGCAGCAACACCAGGTCGCACAGCAGCTCCGCCGCGACCGCTTCGCCTCCCCGGTCGCTCCCGGTGAGCAGGTCCCATCGAAAAGAAAAAGTCCGTTTGGGCATTGCAACAACAACACCATGCTTGAGTGTGTATTCATTTTGGGGTGACCCCCTGGCCCTGGCTGGGTAGACTGGTCGGACTGTCCCGTCTGGAAGAGGGGGTCGGAACGCCTGGGAGGTCTCCACTGAGGTCTCCCTCTTCTAATACACACCCTATATTGCAAAAAGGGTTTCAGCGTCAGCACACCGCGCCTGATCTGGCCATGGTTGTGGCAAAGACCTCCAGCACCCTGAAGGCTTCACAAAAAAGAAATCCATAGTCCATAGGACTCGGATTCGTCACACGCCAAATGTGTGATCATCTTTTAAGACCTGGGAATTATGTTTCTTGGACATGAACTCACCGTCGCTAACCTCGAACCTGTCTTTTTGCTGATCGAATGGGCCACATCCTTGGCCGTACGGTACAACATGAAGCATGCCAGCTTACACTTCACCTTCCACCAACAAGTATCCGCCCCTCAATTGCAACAGCCCTTCCCAATCACTGTATGGTGTCAATTCTTCTGGACAGCTCAGCAGTGTACGGAATGCCCAGACGCCTCTGTGCATAGGTCGCGGCCGCCTCGGCGGCCGCGGGGGTGGAATCGGCATCGCGGAGGTTGTAGCGGTATTGCGTGGAAAATTCCTGGCAGATCTCGCAGCAGACGGAGGTTTCCTCATGACCAACCCCTTTCGAGTCTTTGATTTGGATTTTGTACTCAAAAAAAACAAAATGTCAAAAGAATCTTCCAGCCTTAGGGGTGAGAATAGAAACCCCAAATGCCTTTCCTTGGCACCTCAGGCTGAATGATATCAGTCTTGCATCTGATAGGAACCGATGAATCCTGAGCAGTTTGTGTCCACCCCGAGCTCCACCGGGCACCAGACGGAGCGAGGCCGACGCTCCGTCGTCCTTGAAGCGCTGCAGCTCCGCAGCGCCCAGGGAAGCCTCCAAGTCGCGCTTGAAGCGGCGGTTCTTGGCGCGCCACTCCTGGAGAAACCCGCCCGGAATTCAACGGATGTGTTTTCGCGCTTCGGAATCCAACACCGCAAGCGAGAGGTGACAGACAATCACAAAAACCTATGGAATTGGAGAATACCCCTTTGATAGGAACATGTTCATGCTTTTTTCACAAGCCATCCATCCACGTCCACATAGTTGGGGCTGCAGGGGTGTGCGATAGTTTCTATTCAATATTCACGCTAACACGGAAGGAGCTCTGAAGGCGATATACAATATTATATATATCATATATATATATATATACGTTTGTGTTTTTTCTCTGCTCATTTGTTCTGTAGACCGTTTTCACGTGTTTTGTTCCGTTTCCGTCGTTTTCCCTTGCTATTATTTTTGTCATATCATCTTTATTCATCTGTACCTGATTCACTTTTCTTGTTTTCTGTTGTTTTCCCTCTAAAGTATGTCAGTTGTTGTCGGCGTTCACAATGTCATACATGTCATGGAGAATATGGTACCTCAGAGTTCAAGACGATGTGTCTGATCATCGTCACCTTTGGGACCTAGATTCACCCAGTTGAAAGGAAAAAGGCATAAAAAGGCACGAACTGCCCAACAGTGTCCAATCCACAGCCCCGCCCTAGGGAAAGCTAACAAGGGCAGGGCCACTGACGCCCATGGAGCTACGTCACCAAGGGGGCGGAAATGGTTGCAGTAGCCGGTGCCCAAAGGTCAAAAACATTGGCCAAGGATTCTCAGTCTGAGTCTGTGTCATGAAAGGTAAAAGAAATGTTCAGAATCCTTGGCAACGGACGTGGGGATGTATATTGTGTTGCACCTGCTTCGATTCTTTCTAACCCTAGTGAACGCTGGAGATCAAGACTGATCTCTTAGCCAGGGTCAGCACCCAGGCAGCCATTCAAGAGGATGTTGCGGAGCTTGTAAACGCACATGGACTCACGCGTCTCAAACGCCGCAGCATCGGCTCCTCTTGATCCAGTCTCGCAACCAAATTGATTCCCGTCCTCGGCCAGGACACAAAGAAAGGCAGGTGGTGTATGAGTATGGTTTGTAGTCTGTTGACTCTGGATTCATCTAGACCCATACTTTCCCTTTCACGCATCACTGTTGCCAACTTCTGAGATACGTTTCATCCGTCAATCCTTCACTTCCCAAATCCTCGGATCCTTCCTTCCCTTCATTCTTTCACTCAGTCTCTGGTCGATCCGCTGCACAGCGACTGCCAGCAGCTGCGACAACGCCCGGTGCTGCTCCCGTTCGGGATCGAGCCGCGCTGGCCGTGAGGGCTGTGAAGGCTGCGAGGGCTGTGAAGGCTGCGAGGGCTGCGAGGTCTGGGCGGCTGCGCGGCGCTCTTGGTGCTTGATGGGCCGCGGAGGGTACCTTTTCCATCGCGGCGATCGTGGAAAATTGAGGTGCCGGAGTGAGATATTGGTCTCAGGAGGTAAAGCTATAATTTGCTTTTTTCTGTCCAGAGATGTCCCGAGCTCAACATGAATTGATCACTGAAAGACCATGACGCCCTGAAAAAAAATACAGCTGAGAACCGGAGGCCCGATCTGGCCCGATCCCTGCCTTTCTTCATTGATCTGACTGCCACTGCTTCCGCTCTCCTCCTGGGCGATGGGGTGGTTGATCGGTGGCTGCCAGTCTCAGTCTTGCACCTACAAGCACCCCATAAAGGCTCGAATCGCTCAATTCAGCGTTTCATCTGGAAAGCCGTTTCAATCAGAGCAAGCTTGGAAGACCAAGAATCCCCGGACCTTTCCAAACAGCGCGTCCTGTCACTCGCCCTGTCATATTGAAGCGCTCGCCCCAGACACGGCATTTCTCAAAGCCCACCCACCACCCAAACCCCCAGGTACACGCCTGCAGCTTGGGCCAGTCGCACTCGGGCGCGGCGGGCGGCTTCCCGCGGGTGCGCATGAAGCGGATGTCCCCGGAGACTGCCTTTGTAGAGGCGGGAGAGTTTGGGAGAATGTGGCAACTTCTGGGTTTGCTGAGCTTTGCTGTCTTAATCGGCGTATTGTTGGGTGAAAAACAATACGAAAGAACGCCCAATCCAAACAAGTGAAAAATGAAAAATGTGAAGGCGCTGAAGGTATGCACGTGTCTGACCTGGGAATGGATGGGGATTCGGATACAGGAACTGAGCGGAAACTCCCTGGCTATCGACGGCAATGTCGCTAGACCACAGCAGTGGGATGGACAGCATGTCTTTGACGTGAGCATTTCTGAAAAGGACCCAAGTCTAACAGCTAACCCTGGTCAACCAAAAAGAAACTGGCTCATCAAACCGTCCAATCTAAGCTAAACCCCAACACATCACCTTCACTCCACATGCCACCCTCTGCAAGGCTCTTTTTCTCTCCTCACGTCACACGGATCTTAAGCGTTCATTGAGCTCACTTTGCCGCCTCTTCACCTCTTGCACCATGGACACTGCCCGGGAACACAAGTGGCACCGCAAGTCGTGCATCCCCTGACCCATTCGAGCAGAGACCATGATCAACCGCTGGCCTTGGATGGCGGAGTTGGAAGAGTTGGATTGAATAAGCGATGACTAGACGAGAGATTGCCAACATTCCAATAAATCTTCCCCCAAAAGGACGATGTTTTCGGTGAGCAACCTATGTCCATCCCCCTCATGTACCAACCAGGCGGTGCCACATAAATTTCATACTCTCATAGATAGGTGCGGATAGAAAAAGGAATAAACTTCCTGGTGCTCAAAAGTCTTCAAACAGCAGCATGTTGCACCCTTTTGGACCTCCCAATTGACTCAACAACCACATGGACTTCCCGTGAAAACCCGGCAAACTGGGCAGACATGCCGCTCAGCGACTGGAACGAGGTACACTTCGGATATCTTCCAGGACCAGCGTCGCCACTTTGCCCAGCATCTTAGGGACCACCATGTCACCTGATTGGCGCAAAGACTGGGCATGTATCCCGTGACAAGCCTTGGTGTTCTTTCTTTAGGGATAAGTGACACTTCATCCTGCAGTAGGCAACTGCAGATTGCCTGGGTGTTGTAATTACTTTCAGAGGCGCACTAGACTGGTTGTCAGTTAAACAAAGCAAAGCATTCACAAATTTGAACAGGAAGATCTCAGACGTTTGGGTTTTTGAAGTTTTGGAGATGTGGCCAAGTCGCACTTCGTGAGGATGAAGATCTTCTCTGGTCCATCATCGCCCAGGGAGGCATAGAAATTCCAGTCAGAAGGTCGAATCCCTGTTCGAGCATCCACCAAGCAGTATAAAATCCGCAAAGACTTCCGGCGTTTCACAAAATCTGCCACCAATGGCCCGTACTGCGCACCCTTGGCATATCCATAGCCCGGCAAATCAATGACGTCGACTGGCAAGCGGCTGCACTTGTACCAGTCAATGCTCCGGGTGACGCCAGGGTCATCCTTCGCCTTGGAGCAAAGCATTATTCTTACAGTCAGCACACCTTTGTGGTCACTAAATGTTTTCTGTACCTGTTGGAGGGCACTCTTTGCAGACTCACGTGCAGTCCACAGTTACTCGCTATATCATAACTCTGATATCACCCCTTTTATATCCCAAGTCGCAGGCGCCAGTTGCTGCGTCCTTGTGAGTGCGTTCATCAGCGAGGACTTCCCCACGTTGGACGCTCCGATGAACGCCACTTCTGGCCGCTCGGGCGACGGAGCTTCTTCGCCGTTGGGGTGGCACCGAGCGCGCTGGCGCAGGAAACCCTTGTGCACGGCGATGGCCATGCGGCCCAACGTGTCACTTCGGCCATCATCCACGGAGCCTGGATGTGGTCGAAGCAGGACGTGACGCGAACGTCGCACGCACGTCGCACATGGGGAAGAGTCGAAGTGTCGGCGGTGGAAGAGTCGGAGACACCCCGAGAACAAAATTGACGTCAAAATCCACCTCCAAAAAACAAGCGCGCCGAAAGGAATGCGCAAACTTTTCACAAAAAACACAATTAGAACACCTCCGCCAAAAATCCTGAATTTTGTTGACCACTGGCATACTCGTCCCTAACTGACACCTCCCTCTTGATTCAATCCTTTTACGCTTTTACGCGCTTCACTTTTTGACTGGGTCTGACGTGGGTCAGCGAGGACTTTACGACCTGTCATGCAAGATGTCAATCTCACACAACAAGCAGAATTACGCTCAAACCATGTTAATATCATGTTCATGTACGTTACTAATGCTCAGACCATGCTCAAAGCTGAAGTTCACCACATCATCATGAGTGTTGAGCATGTGACGACGGTAACATACCAGTAACCCGAATTTGTTTCACAACTGCCAGGCTAGCTATATATAAATCTATATAATATTTTGCTATATCCAAGTTCAACAGTGGGCGTCCTGCCCGATGAATGGACTAATACACTGTGAGTGGCGCTTTCACATTTTTTGTCCAAAATCCGAACAGCTGTTGGTAGCCGTGGATAACCCAAGCACAATGTCAAAACAACGTCAAGCTTTAAGCCCCCCAAGCCTATTCTGTTCCGCAACCTCCCAGGTATTGCTGTGACGTGGCACGTTTTGTGTTTGGACGCCGTCGCCCCACCTTGTCGGCCGTCGTGTGCCGGGTCCGAGCCCGCAAAGATGGCCGGGCGCCTCTCACCTCGCTTGAGCTTCGGCAACTTCCGGTTCCCCAGCTGGTGCAGCTCAATGAAGTCCTGGCGCTGGTTCCCGACGCGCATTTTTTGGAGGGCTCGGAAGTTTCGTCAATCTCCATCCAATGATTCAGATCTGGAGTGGCCTGATCTGTCTTGAAACTAGTGGGCATTGGCCTTGTTTGGGACGGCACGTCTTTTGGAAGTCCCCGAACTCCACAAGATTATCAATGCCCTGTTAAGAACCCCGTGTGGGGTTGTCTGTTTTGACTCCAGTCCTTAATGGACTTGGGCACAAAAGCTTCGGACAAACGAATCCGGAAGGCTCTGGGCAGCGGAATCATCTCCTGAAGCGAGAACGCCATCGCTGTGCGAGGCCAAACAGTTCAGATGGCATCGATTGACGAAAGAGTGGAAAGCCCAAACACTGGGCGAGTTCGGTTTCGCTCCCAAACGCGTTTGCGAGACATTGCCCAAACACTCCATGGGACTGACATATTTACCTATATTTGGGGGGCTGAGGGATCAATACAGTTATATATCGAATTAACTATTTTTTACACACCCGCATCCTTGGGATTTCTTGGGTCATGAAGGTGAAAAGGTCTGCTGGTCTTGTTTGGAATGGATGAGAAACGCAGGCCATGCTCAGTTAAGTGTCCCTAAAAAATCTAGGAACCAAATCATTAGTCCAGATACTAGACGCTTAAGTAGCTAGGAGCGAACTTCTCCCTTACTTAAGTAGGCGCCCTACTTAATCAAGTAAGGAGGCAGGGCTACGGGCTAAAAAATATGCTCGGGCATGTCCATCATTAGACCATGCCATGATACTGTACCAGGTACCAGGTACCAGCACAAAGAAACCGTGTCGTGAACTGGGCCATCCTAAGTCGTACCTCATGCAATCAACAAGCCAGGTCAAAATCCAAGCAACAGCGTTGACTGAACGCCCGGAAGAACTCTTGCTGGAACCTTTGCAGGTCAATGGTAAACTAAGCCCAACCCCATTGCCCAACACACTCCACTGCTCTCCTTAACCCCAAGCTGGGCTGCAGGATCAGTGCCTTGATCCCATCCGCCCCAGTCTTCTGCAGCGAGTCTGGCCCTCTCCAAGACGTTGAGCCCTGGATTCGCCCAATCCAATGGCTCGTTGTCCTCCGAGGCTCTTGGTTCGCCGCCGGGCCGCGAGCCGGACGCCTCTTCAACGGAAGGGAAGACAGGCGCAACACCACCTCAGCATGAAAGACCCCCAAGTGAGGAGTCCTCCTGCAAGACTCTGGTTCCTCTGCAAAGTGGACCACTTCTGATGTAGATTTGAGAATCAAAATGTGGCTCAATATACCTGTGAAGGTCTGTTCGAACAGTCCAAAAACCGTGAACCAGATTCTTGCCCGAAGGGTCACATCAATGTGGAGGTTGAGGCTTTGAAATGTTGGGTCCACTTTCCCGACATTCCCTATAATTCATATTTAGTTCGTTGGAATTAATTAGTATGTCAATAGAAGCACTTCAGGGCCGTGACTCCCAAGCGTAGCCAGGGCGTGCCTAGTTTGACTGATCCGCAAAGGTTGAAGACACATTCACCTTTTGCAGTGGGGTCCAAGTATTGTTTGAAGGATAAATGAGTTAGGGAAAGACCTAGGGCCATTCATCCATTAGGTGCTCTCATGAGCTATGGAGTGCAGGGCCTGCACAGGTCAATGTCAACAATCCAAGAGCCCCCAACATGAGTGAGCCCAAAGCGGCTGGAGAAAGAAATCCTGTTTTTGTTGCTTTAACTCATTCCAACATGCTTGCCTGTCAAACATCCGTTTCTCAAAAGAACACCAGAGGCTTACAATGTTGATCCCCCCAGCCGACCAGCCCTAGGCTTCCCCATGTTCAGCAAAGGCCGCATGATGCTGCTAGTTACCCACTTTCTCCAAGCTGCTGGGCACCTCCAACTCCTTCTCCTCCTCTTCCTCCTCTTGCTCGATCCCCGCCAACCAGCGCCGCCGCAGCTCCCGCTTCTCCTCCCTCCTAAGCAGGTTAGCAGCAAAGGGCCTCTGGAGTTGCCTCTGGGCAGAGAGGGACCTCTAGAGTTGCCCACTATGTGAAACAATGTAAAACACAATTGTACAGCCCGGTTCATCAAGAAGGTGTTCAACTGTGTTGAATGAGGGCAAGCATCATCAATTTTCTGAGTTGGGCTGTGAGACGAGGAGCACCCCCCAAAAAACTAGCCGAAACAACCTGTTAGAACGCTTGGCTTGTGGAAGATTCAATATGAGCAGTTTCCAAGCAGTTTCCGGCACCCACTTTGGCCCACTTGCAATAATCTTCATTGTTATTGTTCCATGTTCTTTGGAAACCTGGAAATTAGTCCTTGGTTCGACTCGACTCACAACAGTTCATAGCTTCCATGTTCATGACCCTTCCCACTTCACTTGGGCCGTGCCGACCTCAACCCTGCGACCTCCCGCACAGCCAGGTCTCTTCCGGTACGTGCTCACACTGGCATGGGTCGCCCTTCGGCCCAGCCGACGGCCGTGCCGCGCGGCACCCGCGGCGGCGGCCGCACCGAGCCCGAGGCTCCGACCGCGTGAAGCGCGGTGCGCCGGCGAGGAGGCGCGGTGCGCGCGCAAGGGTTCCGCACGGCTTCCAGAGGACAAGGTGGGTGATGAAAGCCAAAGACTTTGGGCAGGCGAAAGAGATAAGGCCATGGGACAAACTGAGAATGGATATTGAAAGTATTTGAAAGTCTTGAATATTACAAGTTGGTGTGATGAATGAGCAAATTTGCGCTGCTGCTGGCTGAGAATGGGATGGCTGATGATGCTGAAGAAGAACTGTAATCCTCAAAAATGTCGCGTCCTTTGTGCGTCCAAAGGACGTCGCGAGGATCTTGCGCATGAACCTTTCAACGAGTTTCTTGAGTTCAATGCTGTTCACCCATCATCGCGCCCCTGGTTGCACCGAGAGCCTCCCGGGATCGTCCAGATAGTATAGTCTCGTGATCTTGAGCCAATCCCCTTTCCAATCAACCGAAAGTGAGAGGAAAACAACATAACTCAGGGAGCATTATCCTTCTACTACTGCTATTCCAACTACAACTACTATACTACTATACTACTATACTACTACTACTACTACTACTCCTACTACTCCTACTACTCCTACTACTCCTACTACTCCTACTCCTACTCCTCCTGCTACTGCTGCTACTACTATGAGCACTTGCGATGTTTTGAAATGTTTCTGGGCTATGTTACTAGAACGCTATATTGTTGCTGGTAGCGATGGCCTCCAACCCAATATAGCGATGGCCTCCAACCCAATATAGCGATGGCCTCCAACCTAATATAGCGATGGCCTCCAACCTAATATAGCGATGGCCTCCAACCATATAGCGAAGGCCTCCGGCCTAGTATAGCGATGGCCTCCAACCTAA